CAGCAGGGTACTGTACCATAACAATACTCAATTATTCATCAATGCTGGCAGGCCAGTAGCTCTTTCAAGACAATATGACTTATGGTTGAAGTGTTTCTGAAACAGTCCTGGAAGATCACTACAGTTTGAAAAGGATAGTAAGAACTCCCCAAATTTTTAACAGCTTCCTCCAAGTTGAAATGTCTCCCTAACCTCTTCTCTTTTGGGGTGAGGTGAGTAGCATTAAACTGAAGCAGAAAGGTACTCTAAAATGCAAATTAACTTCGGACACATCCACTGTATGCTCTCAAGAAAAGAATCTCTACAGTTAACCAGACAGTCATAAGGAAGCTTTGCTTCCCAAATCAATGAGAATGTAACTACTTCAATTCACATTAAAAATCTTTATAGAATTAGCAGAGGTGAGGAAAAAAAAAAAATTAATGTGTAGTCAGAAGTCATGTCCAGTACCTTCTATGATATTTCAGCACATGTGTTCTTTAGGTCCAAGACCACAGGATAGTAGCTCAGAATGAAGACAATTTTATTTGTATTATACAAACTCAAGTATTCGGGTGGTAGTGATAACTAAAACAACTCATAGCAATGTTAGGTATTCTCATCGTTAAAAAGTAATGCATTTTGTCTTGCTTTAGCTTCCAACCCTGACTGTGGGATAGTCAGGGATGCTAGGTTAAAGTCCTGTAAAATTTAAGTCCACCTCTGGGCACCTATCTATGAATAGGTCCTCTCCTAACCTTCCTGCATAAGTAGATCAAAGTGTTTAAGGTTTTCATAGACATTATGTATCCAAGAAATTGGCTGAAGGCTTTCTAGTTTTAAAGCACAGGCCAGAATGCTAGGTTCACTAAGTCTTAGCAGCGCTCTGTGTTGAGCCTCCTGTCTATTACTGTAGGAGATGATCCAGTCACACTCAAAAGAATCATATCAATCCTCTTTGCGTCTGCATTACATTTATTCATCAGGGTCTTATACAGCAAACGTAGACCATAGTACTAATTTACTAGTAGTGGATTGCTGCTCTATGTCTTCCAACAAAAGCATTCATTGAAGTAACCTGTGAACATGAGAGTGATAGGCATTTAACATTTCTCATTAGATTTCAAAAGAAACTTACTTTAAAAATTACGTTCTATGAAAGCTCTTATTTCACTTAAAAAAACAAGAATAGATGGTGACAAAACACATTCGGTATTTAATTTTACTGACATCATACAGTAGCGGCAGGGAAGCATCATATAACTACAACACGAAGCTGTGTATCTGCCAACATCGTATTAGTTTCTGCTTCTAAGTCTGCACCTGTTTAATTTCATTCACTCACTGATGTATGATTTGCCATTCTCATAGACAGGTGAATGATACAAATTATGTTCATTTTAACTCACACAAAGGTGTGAGAAAAGATCCTCTGCATTTTCTTTAGTTAGCTCAGCAACATGGGTTCCTTGGGAAAAAACACACATTACAAATCATTACTGTTGTAGCATGTCTCTGAAAACAGAAATACATAGAAAAGTTAGGAGGATCATAATGAAAATTAAGACTAAAACAAAAGAAGTGCCCCATGACACCAAGAATGGATACTCCATACATTACTGCTCAGAATACAGAGAAAAAGCAAGAAAAGAAAGAGGTATTTGTATAAATCAGTGCACTCCTCCCTTGCATTTTGCAGGATTCAGTATTTAGTACACCATCTGTGAGAACTTAAGACATCATTGCAAAAATGTATCATCAGTCAAGAGAATTCTAACCTAGGAATGTAACCCTGTCAGCTGTGATCATGGAAGTTTTGGGGCAAAAATCTTCATTACTCTCACCTCCTTTCAGTTTGCATTTGCCTCAGTCTTCAGATTACAGCAGCCGCAATAATTAATGCTAGCTGTAACAAAGAAAAACTGCTATCAGATATGTCACAGTCTAGGGGCTGTGACAGTCCTCTTTAAATAGTCTTTGAAAACAGGGAAGAAACTGATCATAAAATCTTTTACCAGTTTATACCTGTAAATAACAGGTTTATACCTGTAAATTACCAGTTTATAACAGTAAAGTATTATATTCTCTTTTGAAAGTCAACATATAGTGCCCTTGGATGGCCTTGTGTAGTGTGACACACAGCACTGCTGCTTCACTGAAAATCTGGCCCCCGAAGTAAGCTTTCCTACAGCTAGAAAAGAGATTTCAATATTGCAGTCATTTAAAAAAAAAAACAACAAAAGAAGAAGAAGAAGAAGAAAAAAAAAGCTACTCTCCCAACAATTGAGATAATTTTATGCAGAACTACAACACACTTATACTATAAGCAGTACTATGTAAATATGTAGCATTGATTTTTGCATCAATTCTTCCTAAATTCAAGCAGCCATTTTCTTAAGAACTCTCCAGCCTTTAAAGATCATGAAGGAGACTAAACTATTTTATATTTATCTCAAGTGAGATAATCACATACTATTGTTTTTTACAGATTTAAAAAATCAATTGCACTAAAGATTTTTCCAGAAACA